TATATTGCCGTTTTGTTCATGAGAAAGTTGAAACCGAGGAGATAGATGCTGGCTTTATTGGGACCGAATATTGAATAGTTGATAGCTTCACAAAAGGGCTTGCAAAAGATAGACTTGAGTCTTTAAAGAACAAGTTGTACATTTTCAAACATGATGTATAACTTGAGGGGGAGTTTTAGAATGCAATGAAGGGCAGTTCTGTAATTTGTGTGTATTTCAAGTGGTTTATATTGTGAAGTCATTTGCGGTAATGTAAAAGGGCAAATCTGTCCTTACTCAAGATGTAATATTATATATATTATAATAGAAGAATTAGTGTTGCACTCTGGTGTGTGTGCCTCTTTTCTCTCTTCTCTATTTTTTCATATCCTAAATTGACTTTGTCACTGTTTTCTTATGAGATTTAGCTGTGTAGGTTTATCGAACTCATTGTTACGGCAAATGACCACATAATCTGGAGTACAAGATTACACTCAGTGTTTGACTCCATGGCTTGAGCAAGGTCTCAGCCCCTTGCCAAGTCGAGTGACTGGAGCCAGTCCAAGTCGAATTGCTCAAGTTGCGGAATGGGCTAAGCCCCCCACCCCCCACAACCACAAAAAAGGAACAATCCCAAAACATTTCTCAAATAGTGCCTTTAGGTGTTTTTTTTTTGTTAATATTTGTGTGGGGTTCATTTATTTTGTTTTTCATTTATCCATCTTATTTTCGGGGTTCTTTAGTCACGAAAAAGAAAGCTTCCTCTCTGCGATGCAAAGGGTTGTCTAGGGGTGTTTTAGATGTAGGCACTGGTTTAAAAAACGGATTGGTGCCCCTGATCGGGCACCCCAAAAAACCATCCGGATCGGTGAATCGACGATCCGGATCAAGAATCGGCTGAATTGGTGGGATTTAGCCATAAAAAAAATCTGAAAATAATTATTAAAATTCATTATAAATGTTGTTTTTTAGGAATCCAAAAAGAAATGGGGGTCCTCCATTAAGAACTTTCATTTTTTTTGCATCAATATGCGAATATTGAGATGTTCTTTCCCTGCATGAACTACTGTTAACCATTAAATTTACATCATCCAAAAGGATAAGCATAGAATTATCATGGATGAAGTATAAAACTCTAAAAATAATGTTATTTTAGTTTCTAAACGTAATTAGGAGTGATGCATTATGTACTTTCATTATTTTGTAAAAATAGGTAAATATTGATACGTTTTTTGTCTGGATGTCTGTATAATTATTAATTATAATATAGTATTATAATATTATAAAAAATAATAATTTCCCATATAAAGTGAAATTAGAATCATATCAAAGTATTAAATATTTATTAATTCGTTTTACTCATCCAAAATTATCACAACCTAACTAACCATAATATTATATAATGAAATTGAAATGGTTGGTTTATATTTTATAATTATTTTACTATACAAATAAGTACAAATCTAAAATGTCTTATAATATCATCTAATTTAAACAATATATTTACAACTATAAGAAAAATAATACATTATCTAATTTATAATGTAAATAAAGTAATAAATAAATTACAAGATTTGGTTATCAATGTAAAATTAATAGAAAATGCTTCCATATCATATGATTAAAAATAAAAATAAAACCCCCTATAAATTCTAATGCTATGATATTAAAAAATTGAAAAAAACTTTATCCAAAAAAATAAAAATAAAGATATCAAAATTCAAAAAAATAAAAAAAATGCCTATCTACAACATGCATAATAGTTAGAAACACTTCTATATTATAAGATTAAAAAAAATAATTTCCCACATAAATTAGTATCACATCAAAGTATCAAACATTTATTAATTCGTTTTACTCATCCAAAATTATTACAACCTAACTAACTGTAATAATATATATTGAAATTGAAGTTGTTGGTTTATAACTTTATATTTTATAATTATTTTACTGTACAAATAAAAATATAAAATGTCTTATAATATCATTTAATTTAAAAAATCTTATTTACAATTATAAGAAAAAACAATACATTACAAAATATATAATATAAATACATTAATAAATAATATACAAGATTTGGTTAGTAATAAATTAAAAAAATTCATATTTGCAATGTGGGATAATTGATAAAGCAACTTGAAATAAATTCTAAAGTGGTATGAGTTAGTTTTATTTTTCTCTTAAAATATCCTCTAAACTAATTTTTTTAAATATTCAATAGACTAGAATTAGTATTATTTTTTTGCTTTTTTTAATATCCTATGAGCCAGTACTGATTTTTTTATCCCAATTAACTAATTAATTAATTATTAATCATATAATGAAATAATCCCATGAGATAATAGCCTAATAGAGTTGTTATTTTTTTTTGGGTAAGTAAATTTAAAGTTTTTTGCACGTTAATTGGTCCACATTAATTGATTCTTAATGTATATAAATGTCCACATTAATTACACTTAATTGAGGTTGGTGTAATGGTAGACCGCATGAACTTGTCACAAGAAGTCTTGGGTTCAAACCCCAGCCTTGTGCTTTTTTTAACTCCACGTACACCATCTAACTCATAGAATTGTCCCACATCTAAGCGATGTGGGAAGAAAGGGTAGTATAAAAGAATCAAACCAGCCCGAGCAACTCGTTGTTGTTGTTGCATGGCTACGCATACGTGGGTTGGTGCACGCTGACGTAAGAAGTTGGGTGTGATAGTGGGCGTGCTGAAGTAAGCAGTTTTTGTTGTGACTCAGGTAGTTCACTGTAGCGAACCGGGCGACTCCGGCGGTTCACTGTAGTAACTGGCCGGTTCTTCTCTATAACCGGGTGACTTTGTGTATTTCAGTGGAATCGACCCGGGTGACCGATTCCCGTGTCGACTAGGCCGAGTCCGTTGCGACTCGCTGTTTTTTAAAACACTGGATGTAGGAATTGTAGCCTCCCCCCTCGTCCCCCCTTTTTTTCTTCTTTTCGATGTGGAGTTTTCCTTTTTCATCCCTTGAGGTTTTTGTATAGGGCACCTGCCAAGCAGGCACGCCCAATCATGTATATGCTCTATACGCACATGATCTGCTCTGTAATCCTTTTACTTTATTAATACAACAGTTACCATTCTCAAAAAAAAAATAAAAAAAATCGTAGTCTGCAACAAAGGGTCTCTATCTATCTATCTATCTATCGGCATCCATCAAGCAAACCTTAAAGTTTCAGACTTGAAATTAATCCGATTCTTCGCCATCTGTACCCTTCTCTCTTCTCCAACCCTTTCTCTCTTTCGCCAAAATAAGTAAACGAACCCTTGCTCCCTTCTCTCATCATGATAAGTAACCAACTCTAGAGAGAGAGAGATGACAAGAACTAGAGGGTATTGGAGAGAGAACCAATCGGGTGAGTACTGTGCCCAGGTTTCATAGTATTTGGGCAAGTCGCTACAGTACTTACCTGGGAACTGTACAGGGTATACAGTTCTACTATTTTACAGGCACGGCAGGCTATGGAACCTCGCCTGAGTCCTAGTTGATTCGGGCAAGTTTTCAAATCTGATTGCAGATTTTATCCTATAGGTATTTCTACTGTAACAGAGTTTTAATGTAGTAAAATGATTTATAGTAAAAGTCGCTCCAGCTGCTTAGACCATTTAGCATAGTCTCAAATCCAGCTTTGTTTATAAGTGTGGATTTGCTTATATTTTTGACAGGAATTTGTTGAATTGTATAAACTTCATTTGGCTTTTACAAGATTAGGATTAACTATGTACTAATGTGTTCCATTATCACTGAGGGATAGGAAATCCACCTGTGCCTGTAATAGTATAATTTCCTCATACTGTTTCTAATAACCTACATTTGGCTTTTACAGATTTGGGTGCATTATGTAATCATCAGTTCAGCTGTATTTGCCATTTTTGAACCGCTTATTGGTGTCGCCTTCACATCCCATGGTCTTCCTCCCAATCAAACTCACTACCATGCTAACTAGTTATTAATGTTCTTCTAGAAAGAGAATGTTTCTTGTAGGCGAATCTGTGAACCAAAAAATGTTTTTTGACCCATGCTAGTGAAATTACAGCATATGATCACTAATTAGGAACATTCTTTCATTAAAATATTTTATTTTTGTTATTTGAAAAATTGTTTTGACTAGGGTACCAATCAAGGGAGAATGTTATGTTTATAGGATGACTAGAAACCATTAGCTCTTATTCTGGTTTTTTATTATTTTCTGGCCTCTCTCTCTCTCTCTCTCTCTTCTTTTTCATACAATGTGCATTAGTTTTGAGCAATTTATATATTTCATGCTTAGCAAATATGGTGGGTCTACCTGAGACTTGTCTGGGTTGACACGACCAGGTCACAAACTGGATCAAATTAGGTCATGACCGAATTCTTTCCAATTTGTATCATTTTGTAAGGGGATATCAGACTTTTATATTTGATCATGTAAGATTTGTGAAAGCTATGTTGGGGATTACACGTTTTGGATGACATTTGTCTGATATAAATTCATGGACGTGCTACATGAGTAACCCTCTACTTACAAGAATATTCAACATGCCCTTATACTTCATTATACTATTTGATTTAAATTAAATGTGTGAGATTTTTAAACACTTCTAATTATTTTCTCTTTCATGAATGTTTCATAGTTCTGAGAGTTATGTATTTGGCTCGCCTGGTTGACCTGCTATGTCATGGGTTGACCCAACCCCATGATTATTGAGTCCGATTGCGAGTGGTCTGATTTTGTGAACTATACTTGATATTGGACACTATGTATCCCTTTTGTGCATTGCAATTATAACTCAATTGACCAAGTAAATATACATACATGCATGAATTTTATGTACTTTATGTCACTGCTAAACGTTTTTTATTTAGTGTAGATATCTTTTCTTTTTTACTTAGGTTATGTATAAGTTTTTTGTTTCCAACAGGAGCATGTTTTTAATAGCAAATGATTAAACCCTGTAGATACTTTTTCTGTATCTGTAATCATATACCTCTTCCTTCATTTGAATCTTGGTGCAGGAGTTTTTGTGGAAGATAAGTCTTTCCAATTCTTATATCAAGAGGGTCATTCTGTGACTGTAATGGAGTGAGTGCCTTGGCTGTTATTCTTCATGCATGCATGGCCACACACACATATCAGAAGTTAATATACATGATGATATATGTTTCCATTATACATTATATTCTTGTCATAACATATGATTTATTTAAAGTTTTTGGCTTTTATGGGGCTGTTAGGCCAGACACATTCGAGCAAATGGAAGTCTCTAAGGATTTGTTTGGCAAACGAGCAGCCTATCTAAAAGGTATGTGCATTATTCTAAGGTTCAAATTGAGTTATTTTACTTGGTTTCTGACATTGACTTGTTGTTAATAGGACATTTTGAATGACCAACTCATGTTGCATGCATCCAATTATAGTTTGCTGGTCCAAGTTTTGTTATGCAATTATTTATGGTGTGAATTAGTTTTACCACTACCGTAGGCATTATTATTATTTTTCTTTTTATTTTCCCTTGTTTTGCTTCCGAAAAAGAATTAAGAGACACTAATGGTAACCATTTGAGCTGACAAAATTAGTAATATTATCCATGAACGGATTGAGCAATATAATAGAGAAGTAAAGATTGTCAATACTGGCATTGTACTTCAAGTGGGCGACAGCATTGCTCATATCCTTTATGGTTTGTTAATTTTTTCTAAATATAAGCAAAATAAAAATGCAGTTTTTGTCGGCCTTTCTTGACTTTCCATGATCTGTATCTTAAGGGGCTTCTTATCCACTGTGCTACACTTGTGTTCTTATGGAACTGGTTGTTTGTTGCAACAGCTATGTCAAGCACTATATACTTAGATACCAGTTGTTTTATTAGTGATGATTCCAAGGTGATTGTGTTGACCTTTAATGGCAGCCGGTGTGATCACGTTTCTTCTTCCACTAACTGGTTATGATCCAAGGACATTGTGTAGTTGAGGAAGCACTTGAATGATAGAGTTTAACATGGGTGATCTTGGGAAGCCATGTATTTCCTGAGCATAGAAATGTCTAGAACCTTTCATGGCTTGTTTTGCTAGAATTTTAATGGTTGGAGGAGAGCCTTGTGACATTGATCGAAACGGTTGTTCATCTCACTATTCGGAACAAAACCAAAGAGTATCCATATAATGTATACAGGGTTGTGCTTGTTAGTGTATTTGTATACGTGCAAGTCTGTGCAGTGGAGATTTATGTAAATAGATATTTGTACTGCAGTTTGTCTGTCGTTTGTAGATCAGATTCCTTCTATGATAGTCCTAGATATTTCGTTAAACATTATTTGTGAGATTCATTGTTGTTCTCCTTTGCTAGGGTTTTATGTTCTAACAGCACTGAAAGTTCATTTGTGTAGACATTAGTAACATTACTTATGTTGTCAGCGGCCATTTGATGCAACATCTGTCTGACTCATGCAAATGTCTTATAAAGGAGAATGCAAAAGAATGAGAAATAATTAATAGAAGATCTTATTTGTGGTTTCTCATCATGTGATCATCATGTTGTTGGTGCATTTCCAAACTGACCTTAAAATTCCAGACTTTGACCATCTGCTGGTTGTTATATTTTTGAGTTCGCTGCGATCCCTTTTTTCTTTGCTTTTTTGTAGTTTTTGCGACATTTTCAATCAAATCAAAGAAATTTGTTTTCGACCATATTTTCAAATATCATTTACCATTTGGATGTAATATCAATCTATTGATATGATGTATTTTCATCTGGATGGCTTTAGAGCATTGTGAATTGGACAATATATTTGGCCTTTCCAACATGTATAATAATTGATTTATGTGGTAGTGTTCTTGCCATCTTAAAGTTATTGCATGCGAGCATTTTCTGAGCTGTGTATGCTAATCATGCTTTCCCCTGTAATGCATGCAGCTCTGAAATATAAATTTAATTAGCATGTATGGTAAATCATGGGAATTACTTGTCAATCTCATTCAAGGGATAGCTCACTATGGACCATTATCCCTTTTGAACGCTAAATCTTTTCAAAATACAAATATGGATTTTCTCCTATTGTGGATCATAAATTGGACAATTCACTCACCTGCTTCTTGAAAGCAGCAATGAATCCATTTTGATGTTTTATGTGTTGTTCTTCTCTCCATCTCTAGGCTTTCCAACTTTAGTTGTTTTTTGGCTGCAACTGAAAGTGAATCTACACTTTTCTTAAAATGTATATTATCATCTCATAAATTTTCATGAACTGCATGAATATCAATCCATGGGTGAAGGTTGTTTGGTTGCCAATTTGACTTAACAATGAGTCCTCAGCTGAAACTCACACGAAATTCATTGAAAATTTAGAACCAATGAAATTTACCGAAATTCTTCTTCCGAAAGCCATCGTCCATGAAATTGGCTCCCCCTCTTTTTCTTAAAGCCTAATCGATGAAAATGGCTCTTCCACTTGATGTATTATTCTTAATTCCTATTTCGATTGGTTTTAATGTTTATCTTAGTTTTACCCTCATCTCTGATTTACTCAAGTTCTTCTCATCCATGAAACTCCTCCATGACACGAACTCTACCAAACTCTCAAACCCTATGAAATCCTTTCTTCAACAGTTACAGGAAGTTTCCCTGGAATCATTTTGGCTTTCAAGCTCTATGTTGACCTTCCTCTGAAATTTGATCTCAAGGAGATTAAACCCTTTCATGTGCCTCTTCTGCTCTTGAACTGCTCCATTCAAGCTTCCGTTCGGATGGAGTTTCTTGACAATTACTCAGAGCAAGCTGGGAGTGATCTTGCATATGTTGCGCCATCGATTTTGTAACAGATTATCCCAAAAATCCCACCAAACTCTTTGCCTCTCTCTCTCTCTCTCAAAAATACCTCG